TAAGACTCAAAACTCGAGCGCCTTCCAATAGTTGACTATTCTTCTTCAGGAGAACAAAAAATGATAATCAACTATTTGAAAGCGCTCGAGTTTTTGGGTCTTATTTTAAGTTTATAATGTGACAGTCATTCCCACTATTTGTTGGTAAAAAAGTAGCCTAAGAATTGGTGGTGGGTGGTGTTGACCAACTGTCTTCCCATTAGTCTATCACTGTTAAATTAGGACAGTGGCTAGCACAGATAGCCCTTGAGTAACTTTGTGCAAAATTTAAAACAAACAAAACCAATCATTAAATAAGCACTTCAAGCAGATTAGAATCAATCAAAAGCATTATCTCTATAAAACTAATTCATTGGTTCGTTAAAGAACATCATTTCAACATATGATCAATGCTCAAACAATAATAATAATGTAGTTAAAATTTATTTTGGGGCAAAATAGACATTATATCATGATCTTTTATTAAGTATCTAAGTACAACAAATAGAAAATTAATAAGATTTGTTTTGGTATTTTGGCAACTAAAATTACAGTTCAAATGCTGTTGTGTGTGTGTGTGTTTTTTAGTTATATACTTTTAATTTCTTCATAATTTAATTAAAATATTTTATCAATAAGTGGCTACTAAAAGTACTTTTTTGGTTTTGTTTTTTAAATACTGATGAACTTATAACTTCAGAAAAAACAACTGATGATCAGGTATAATTTTACAAGAAACTCAGCCTGTAGTTTCAGTATAGTGTGAGCCCCTGAAGATAATACTAATATTAACCAGTTGAAGAAATATTGATCAGCTGATAAACTAGGGCGATACTTATTTTACTGTACTTATGGAATAAATCAACTCCAATTATTATTGATTAAATAGGCTTAAGTTTTTGAGGTCTATTGGAGAATATCAGTTTTTCACAGAATATAAAAGTGTTTGGTTATAAATCTGTCCACATTATTAGATTCTTGTTACACAGTAGATTTAATTGAACACCCACACTAGAGTAAGTTCTGAGAAAATTAACATATTATTATAATAATTCAACCCGATTAGTGGTTAATTCTTTTTATATAAATTATGCTTTTTGAATGTTAGTATTAGCTTCATGTGTTAGTAAGTACAATATAAAAAATTAAGCTTTCTATAGATATTTATCTCTCTCTTTTTTTTTTTTTACATTTGTGCCTCAGTAGCACAGTTCCATTGTATGTCAGAAACTACTCTTAATATATTTTTGGAGAGATCAATAGGTAGAGTATTTATGATGAGTACACTAGAGTGGGCAACAACTGTCTCTTGTAGAGAAAAAAACAATCTAAAGGATGATGTTTTGAAAGTCTTCCTGAAGATGAAAGATGGAAGACTTTTGAAATGTCATCCTCTTCACTTGTGTTTTTTTCTACAACAAGCATTTGCCATCCATTCCTGTCTACTCTTACTACAGTTTTCTCTCTGTGGCACTGTTTCTAAAGGAATTAAAAACACTTTAAGAGAGTGAATTTCTGTAAAAAAAGCAACTCCAATAATTAGACTTGTATCAGTCATGTTGTAGTGTCTTTTCTAATTTATTCTAAATATTTTGTTATTTATTTCTAAAACTCTTCATTTACAGGTAACAACAGTTTTATAAATAATATAAGATCATTTTTATGGATCAGAGTGCAACAGTACACAGTAAAGGAAATTCAAGTGGAACTTTACGCTCACTTGCACAGGTAGGTCTACAGGTGTATTACATATATTTATATTTTCAGGATAAACAAGTGCTATTCCACAGACACAATATACAGTCGTTGGAAAACAAAATATCATAAGAAATTTTAAACATTGCTCCGACTGTAACAGAACTAGTTTTGCTCAATGAATTAAATTGCTAATTTGTCAATTATTGCCCATATGTAAATATTTATGCATATAGGCTGTGATCTCTTAACTTATTAACAGTGTTGTTGTTTTAAGATGTATCTTTATATAGCATAGCAGTTTCAGTGATTACGTATTATTTCACAGTTTAATATGATTTTAAGACCACTGAATTAAAGTTACTCCACTAAGGTGTAAAAAATGACCATTTGCTCCGCATGTTTCAGTACAATATTTTGTCATAAAAATATTAGTTTTATGGCCATAATTTGATATAGAAAATTAGATTTCTATATGTTTAACAAGCACAATTACCATCTTGATAAAGTTTTTTTTATCAGAATACCATAGAAGCTATAATAAACTAGGCTTACAGAGCTGAAATATCTTTAAAGTATTTAAAATAATCTAAATACATCATTTATGTTCTAAGCAACTTAGATCATACTCATAAACCACATTTTTTGGAAATGATAGCTAGTTTTCAATGTTCTGTGCATAAAAGTTTTCACCATACAATTGAGAGAGCCATATGTCACTATGTAGTATTGTATTCTCATATATGTATACATAAAATATATATAAAAATGAGAGAGCCATATTTCACTATGTAATATTGTATTCTCACATATGTATACATGAAATATATAAACATGAGAGAGCCATATGTCACTATGTAGTATTGTATTCTCACATATGTATACATGAAATATATAAACATGAGAGAGCCATATGTCACTATGTAGTATTGTATTCTCACATATGTATACATGAAATATATAAACATGAGAGAGCCATATATCACTATTTAGTATTGTATTCTCACATATGTATACATGAAATATATAAACATAGTTCTTACAGGATTAACTATTTTACTGGTCAGGAAAAAGGACTGACTTTTTTACTGTATAATTGTTTGTGGTTTATAGAATTCATTGCAATTCTTGTTTGCAAGCTGAACTTTATAACTTACGTAATCCTTAATTCAAAATCCTTAGGTAATATGATATCTGATACTTTTAAAATGTATAATATTTAGTTCAAAGCTATTCTAAGTTACTGTTATTAAAACTCTCTTTAGTTTATCTTTACGGTGGCACCTTGGCCGTAAAACAGGAGAAGTTTTAAAGATAATGGATCGAGGAACCAGTAGTGTTACCAGCTTACTGAGGTAAAACAAATTTCTGTTGTTGCAGTATAGTCCTGATAATTTATTGATGTTAATTTTCCATATTTGGTACATATAATTTTTTTCTTAGGAAAAAAAAAAGAGAAGATTTTTTGGCTTAAAGAAAATGTTTTATTTTTAAATAATGTAGGAATACAAAATAAAAACATTTATTTAATAAACTGTATTTTTATGGTTTGTTACTACTACTTTTCAGTGAGGGTAGAATTACTTTTGACTTCATAGTTAAGAATTTATAATAAATTTGCTATTGAAAAGATCAAATATACAAAAGATTTAATGCAAAGTGGATGAAAAAAATACTGAAAACAATCAAGTAAGAGATGAAATTAAAGTGTCTTCATGAAACTCATTTTCCATGTTTCATACAATACATTTACTTAATATGAATTTTTTGTTACTTAATATGTTTTTAAATAATTACTAATAGATATACTCTATATAATGTTTTTAACTTTCAGCTACATGTTATTCAACATCCTACCAACAGTGGCTGACATCATCATAGCGATAATTTACTTTATAACAGCTTTTAATGCCTGGTTTGGACTAATCATGTTTTTAACTATGGGTGTTTATTTGAGTAAGTATTATTAGGATATTAGGACTGTTGTTGATTCATTTTAACATTCCTAACATATTTTATATGAGTGAGAAGTGTATTCTTGCTTTATAAAATTGTGTAAAGGTCTGCTTTGTTTGGTGTTTTTAGAATGTGCAGGATGCTTGAATTTTTCCCTCTATAGTAAATCCAGTGCATTTTCAATCAAACCATTCACAGAGTAGTCAATATGATAAATTATGCCCTTGTGGACTTGGAATGAAACACAAAGAAATAATATGAAACTTTAATAAACCTCAGCTATCCCTCTAAAAACTTATTGCTTCTTTCATGTAAATCAGTGTTAAATTTTCTGTTGGGTTTATTGAGACACTTGTTACAAAGAATGTAATGTAAACACTTGCTTGCAATCACTCAACTTTGACCTTGCAAAGAAATTTTCAAGTATAATAACTTACTTTTGGTTCTCAATAAAATTTATAATTATTATAATCACACGTACAAATTTTTTTAATTTGATCATGGTCAATCGTATTAAACTTTAGTTTATGACAATGTCTGACCAAACAAAATATTTATTTCCATGCCATTTGCTTGTGGCAAAACATTAGGGCAACCCAGAACAGCAGGACATATGGATATAGTACTTTATCATGTTGAGAATTGTTGACCCTTCTGAAGGTGTAGTTTAATAAGGCTGTTTAGATTATCTTAAACAAATCTCTGATAGTGATATGTTCAGTATCCAAAAATTTAACTGTTTTTGAAAGTTCTGAATATATTATTTGAATTAAAATAGATTTCAATGAAAGTGGAATCAAAATATATTTAAAAAATTCTAAAATTAGTTGCCATAATTTCATTTTTCTAATATTATGTACCTGTGGTTTACATACTGATGGTAAACTCAAAGTTTTAAGTTATTAAGACATTCTTACATCAAATCTGTCCAAGTTAGTCCATTGTTTAATGTAGTAAAAAAGATAAGGTGTAACTGCTTGATAGATTTGTCTAGTAATTTTTGGAAAATAGTTTAGGAAAAGCATGAATAATTGGATTATCTTTAAAGAAGAAATCAGCACTGAGTTATTGTATAATTACTTTTAAATGAATATTTGTGTTAAATTAATAAATACAAAAAGCTGAACACAAACAAAGTGTATTGAATTTTAAGTGATAATGGAGAAAATGGAGAGGTGATCTAGTGGTTAGACTGTGTAACCGAGGTTCTGTCATTCTCACCCTTGTTTACACTTTGGGGCACTGGGTGTATTATAAGAGTGACTGTCAATTTCTGTTATTCAATTACAGTAGTCCACAAGATTTCACTGGCTAGTATTAACTAGCTGCCATTCCTGTATCTAATCTATTAATTCAAAATTAGAGATGGCTAGTGCTATTAGTCACCCCTGTGTGTGTTTGGCAGCTAGATTTCTCAAAAATTGCTGAATGGATTTGGATGAAAGTTGGTATACATTTGGACTATGACCCAACTTAGAAGTGATTAGTTTTTGGAGGATCAAGGTCACAAAAAAAAATCCTGATCTGTTAACTTGGGGCCTGATTTTTTCCCACTATTTTTGCTTTATAACTTTGTCAAAAATGATCAGATTTTGATGAAACTTGGTGGAAATGTGTAGAATATTATTCCTCCTTGTCCTGCCAAAAATAGTCCTTGTCTGTTGATAACGACAGGCATACAGACACATTTTCATGTTTTTGGAGAGAAAAATATGATTGATGCTGCATGGCGGAAGTATGCACTGTACTGAGTGCCCCTCTAGTTATGGATATGGGTTTTAGTAATTTAGTAATTTTTCTATTAATTCAAAATATATAATAATATGGAGTACTGTAAAAACTTTCCAATGTTACAAATAACTTCATAATTAATGAATATTTAGTGTGATGACAAAATTCATGCTTCAGCATTACTGTAGTAGCTGGCCAAGGCTTAATCTTCAGTTTTACTGTCATTTGCTGTGTTCTAGATTTTTTCATCGAGATTTTTCTTATTTCTATTGTGTAAATTTCTAAGAATAACATAGAACTTTGATAGGTAAATTTTGAAACGTCAAATGTTTTGAGCTTTGAGCCAACCATGATTTAGAAACTTTAGTCTTGATTTATTTACATGATTCTGCCATATTTATTTTTTAAAAGAAACGCATCAATGAGAAAAACCTGACAAACTAGTTTTCTGTGCTTTAGGCTTAGACTGACAAGAACTGGTAAACTTTACTGGGTGTTTACTTCAGTTGTTTGTCATTAAAATGCTTGTTTAATGGCCAACTAGTAGAGGAATGTTTTTTTGTGATAAACTGTAAGTTGTGATCAAGTGTTAATCATTGATACATCAAGTATTGTAAGAATTAATGATATTATCATTTTAGAGTTGGAAAAATAGTTTGGCAGGTACTTTCCATATTAGATATCCTTAACACAATTTGTTAGATTTAATTCACACTTACAACACTTTAGAAAAAAAAATTACACAGCAGAACCTGAATTTAGTAACACGTTAACATTTCTGTAGTTCCCCACAAACAACTTAAAAAACTAAATCTAAACTGACCATTTACAGTGTTGCCACTTGAGTTAATAAATTGTAGAAAATGAACATACTCTTTATAACACGTTAACACGAATAACTGACTTAAAAATAACTCAATTTGAAATTGTGATAAATTTTGGTATTTAAGTCTTTACTAATTATCAAATAAGCTAAGACTAATATTATACACAAGTTTTGAAAATAAAATTGAAAACATTCAAACCCCAAAATCAAGATCTTACAATGTTAATTAGAAGAAACATAAAAATCTTATTCCAAATCATATATAGTGTTTTTTAGTCATTAGGGAGGTCTTTATTTGCAGGTAAAATTTCAGGCTAAAAATTCTGAAGCTCTCACCTCCTAATTTTGTTTCAATCTACAAAGAAATATTAAATGTCAAACTTCATCCATTTGGGACCATATTTAGTTTGCTCAATCGGGTTGAAATTCTAAACTGCAGTGGCTTGGTACTGTATGTACTGTGTGATACAAAAACATATTTGTTGTGCATTATAAATTATTTTTCAAAGTTAAATATTATTTTATTGAATGTACAATAGTATAATTATGTGACTTTGGTGTGGTTAGTTACTTTTGCATTGCTATTGTTTCCTTTTTGCTGTTAGGAAAGTGTCTCCTATGATCCTGCACAACTTGAAGGAGGAATTGTTTCTGTTCTTCTTCTTTTTGTTACGATGGCATTTTACTCCTCAATAAGGGGCACACCCCTTTCATCATTGTCATTTACCACATTCAAGGTTTGAATTGTTTATAATGTCTCCCTGTAATCCTCTCTGGGCTCCGAACACTTGGAGTCATAATTTAGAAATCGAGATGGAATTTCGAGGCACCCAAATAAGTCTTTTGTATTTTTTGTGATGAAATCATCAAGTGACATGACTCCAGACTTCCTGATACTCAGCTGGATGTGCTTAGGAGATTCATCCATGCTTTCCTCATTTAGCGCCATTTCTCGTTTTGTCTCTGTGGATACAGCTGAATAAAACAATTCCAAACCAAAGAGTTTCCCATTGAAATACTATAGATTTCCAGCAAATGTCTGACAAGCAGATTTTCAAAGAGCAGAATTAAGATCATTGTGAGGAGCAGAAATGGCAGAGAGAGCAGTAAACTTGAGGAACATTTGATGGTTAGCTCCTGCATGTCAGGACCAAGGCTTTGAGCTGTGGAAGTAAGGACAAATGTTCCCTCAACTTGATAATTCCAAAACTGCTGCTAAATCGAGATTAATGATATTGATTTTTGTTCTCCTTTTTAGGTTTAAAAGATAATGATTATCCAATTTCTCCTCTATCCCCATCACTATTATTGGTTCTGTATCAACCAACCTTATCATCATTGTTGTGAGATGAGTCCCAACAATTGACAGTTTCATTCATGGTCTGCTTTTCATGTCGTTTCTTGTCCATAGTTACCTTACTTCTTTTCTCAGCACTTGATTCTTTTAAAGAAAGAACCTTATCTTCCTGGCCAATGCATCTATGATATCCTCTTTTCCTCTGAGCATGAAGAAAGTCCTTGTCATCTGCGGTTTTGAGTGATGTTAAAAAGGTCATCCAGATTATTGACAAACTCTGCTTCATTGGTTCACTGTGTGTTTCAGTTTTCTTTTTTGAATTTTTCTTTATCTTCATAAAGCTTCTCCAGTTTGATAATAGCATGATGTTTTGGATAAACTAGAATTCAAGCATTGTTCCAAAAAGCTGCAGCCTTCTTGACCACAATCGTTGAGATTTCAAGAACTGTTGTCTTTAATGTTTTGTGATGGTAGAAAAAAAAAGCACATAGCACTTGCCAATTGGAAGTAATTTGCTTCCTGTTAGTTCAGTTTCTTCTGAACCAAGTAGCCAAAGTGTAGTGTTAAATATTGTTGCAGAATCCACTTCCAATGATACGCAGATACAGTTTCTTCTGAACCAAGTAGCCAAAGTGTAGTGTTAAATATTGTTGCAGAATCCACTTCCAATGATATGCAGATACAGTTTCTTCTGAACCAAGTAGCCAAAGTGTAGTGTTAAATATTGTTGCAGAATCCACTTCCAATGATACGCAGATACAGTTTCAGCTGAAATGATACAGAAGAATCTGTGTAAGCTTTTATATACCTTCAAAGAAATTCTAAATACCGCTGTCATGTCATACAGAATATTCCAGAAGGAAAAAGTGAGAGCATGAATTATTTATATATATGGAATGTTCTTGAACATCCTGAATAATGTGGAATACTCTGGAAGATTCTAGAATGTGATAGTATATTCCATAATGTTATGCTAGAACACTCTAGAGTATTCAGATTATGCAGATATAATGTGAGCTACAAGGTAAAATTTCAACTATCTAAAGCAACTCCTTAATGTTATTCACTATGGACAAAATTTGATGTGAATTACTTATTCGTATGTTGTACCAAAATGAGGGGATGAGAGTGTTATTAATCAAAACTTCAAAATTAAGGACCACCCTAAAAGTCATATACCATCCACCAGTTTTCATACCTTTACTGAGTTAGTGAAGTGTAATTTTATTATATTAAAACTTTAATTTGAAAAATGAGGTAAATGTATGTAATTATACAAAACCAGTTAAATGATATAGTTTTACATTCTTTAAATTCAAATACAGTGTATTTTATCACCTTATTCACTTTGTTATTTCAGCTGTTACTATAATTCTCACTGAATGGAGAACCAAATTCCGAAGAGACATGAATATGTTGGAGAATGTTGCCCAAGCTAAAGGAGTGGATGCTTTACTAAATTTTGAAACTGTATGTTTACCATTTGTATCAACTATCTAATTTGTTTTGGAAATTGGTATATATTATTAATACAAAAATTTGTCTTTATTTTTCAATGGGTTACAATCATTGTTATTAATGATTTTGCCATTATGAATTTGCTTTTTTATATGTCAGTGGTTGATTTAAAATGTAAGATTTTTATTTTCTACTTTTCAAAAAATAATGTAAAAGGTGTTTCAATATCTATTTTGTTGTAACAATAATGTTTAGGGTATTGTTTTTCTCTCATTTTTCATAAAAAGGTTCAAGGTATTAAAAACAGTTAAATAGTTATTCCAAGTTAATACTTAAAATATACAAGCAACAATCTTGTTTTTTCTAGGTAGCACTTATGAATTGAAATGTGTGATTAATGATCTATTATAATCTTGCATTTGATAATAAAAATCAAATGAATTGATAGCATGTAATTTCACTAAATTCTACAATTCTATGTACATGGCTTACAATGGTCTGCCTAAACCCTTCCATGGCACATTAAGTCTCACTTGACACCATATGACATACAAAAGAATAACAAAGATGTATATTTACAGGTGCTTCATTTGTTTATATATTTAAATTGCTTTTAAAAAAGAAACTGTTAGTAAACCTGCCATCCGTGTATTCACACAGAAGGTAGTGCTTGTATCATACTTTTTAATACCGAAAGTAGCAGAGCTAGAAGGAAGAATGGAGTTGAATGAGATATTACTCAGCTAATGCCCTGCCCTGGTGGCTCAGCTGTAAGTCATATGTCTTATATGGCCTAGCATGACCAGGTGATTAGGGTGCCTGACATGCAATCTGCAAGTCGCAGATTTGAATCCCCGTCCCACCAAACATGCTTGCCCTTTCAGCCGTGGTTGCATTATAATGTGGTGGTCAATCCCACTATTCATTGGTAAAAGAGCAGCCCAAGAGTTGGCGGTGGGTGGTGATGACTAGCTGCCTTCCCTCTAGTCTTTTACTGGTAAATTAGTGATGACTGGTGCAAATAGTACTTGTGTAGCTTTTCACAAAATTCATAATAAACAAAAAACAAAATGATGGCTTATAATGTAAATAACCCAATACCAGAGATGGAATTTAGAGTTGAACAAGGTGTATTGTTCTATGCTCACAAAAAAGTCAAGATTTTCTGAAAGAAAACAAACAAACGTTTGTGACTGCTCAGAAAGGACCTCGTGCAGGAGTGCTGAATTATTTGACACCTGCACATTCACACTCACTGTTTAGTTTAAAATGACTGTGTGAGAGTATATATACAAGTTGTGTTTGATATTCATGTATGTACAAAATTAATATCATACGCATCTAGATACATATCATACGTTGAATCTTTCATTCAGCAGAATTGTTCATATAAAGAATATGCACATCTCTTATTGTGTACAACTTACTGAATGTTAGAAAATTTAATCACTTATTAAAAAAAGACAGTTGTTATGTTTAAAAGTAATGTGATCCAATTTTCAACATTCTCAAACATTTGACAGAGATGCTTGCAATAAAAAAAGGTGCTGAAACCACACATAATTGTAGCGTGATTGTTTTCTTTTATTTATGACAGATACATTAGCTTGCCTATGTGAATAAAAAAAAATCAACATGAAACAAAAAGTTTTTGCAATTCAATTGAAAATTCAAGCATAAGAACCTCTGAACTCTGCTTGTACACTGGTAATATCAGGGAAGTGGATTTTAGTTATGCAGGGGGACCTTATTCTTCCTGGAGCAACTAAGAATAATGACAAATGAGAGAATTCCGCTTTGCAAAAAGAGCAAAATATTTTGAAAAATGGATTATGTTATTAGAAAAAGCGTGAAAATTTAATTATAAATTTGAAGACATTTGTCCTTTTTTTTTCACACCAATAAATATTAGACATTTTTAGTGATATCCACATTCACAGTGATCCTAAATTGTTAATATTTTGAATAATGTTATGATTAAGTGTCTTTTGAGCAATTTCCTGTTGCATAAGAGAAAAAATAAACTAAAACAAAGATTATTCATAATTAGGTGCTACAGAAACAACTGCAGGAACAAAAGATTAAATAAGGTTTAGGTTGTTGTTTTTTTTATTGAGAGAAATCATGTAAAATTAAAGCTATAATAATCTTGAGAGTAGTTTAAAGATTGTTTATATCTAGATATTTAAACTGAAAATTATAATAAGTGCATGTGCAGTATTGTATATGATGTGTTATAAATTATGGGATGGAACTAGCTGCTGCAGTTTATGTACAGGCTAATTGGAAGGAGTAAAATAAGAAAATGTGAAATAGCAAACAATTTTACCAATAGTATTTGTTTGAATTTTTTTAAATTACACACAGTATTTTGTCTAGGTGTTTACTTGTGTACTAGATGATAAAATAATACAATAATATTAGATTCAGAATAGTTAGAAATGACTTTGTTAATTTTAAACACTTGAATTTCAATTTTTTTGCAAGGAATAAAGTTGTAGTTTATTAATGTTTTAATGGCTGTATTCATGTTGATCAAAGCTTTAGTAACTTACAGTTCACACACACACACACTATAAAACAACCAACAAAAATTATATAATTCAATTTTAGCTTGAAACTAAAGAAGTTTTGATAATCTTAATGGTGGAAAATTTACCCATGACACCTCTCTCTCAGGCAGAAATTTATTCTTTTTTTTTTCACACATGGTTACACCAAACACACAAAAGGTGAGTTTAAGAACTTCATTGAAAATAGTAATAAGAAGGCTTAGTAAATATAAACATGATAGTACAGTAAGGCAGTCAATGGTAACTAATTTGAATATAATAAGAAGGGAATAAAAATGGTTAATTGAAAGCTTTCCTATACGTAATTTTTTGTTTAAAGTGGGACTACATTTATATTAAATGAAATGGTTCATTCTTAGAAGAAAAAAAGAAATGTCATAACAAATACTTTTTTGAATTTAGGTCAAGTACTACAATGCAGAAGATTATGAAGTTGATAATTATAGAAATGCTGTAGAGAATTATCAGGTAAGTTCTTCATCTAAGTATACATGTACAGTATTGCATAACATGTTTGTTGCTGACCCTCAATTTCCTTTTTTAGCAGATTTACAGGCCTGGTAGTTAGGGCGTTTGACTTGTAATCTGTGGTTTATAGGTTCAAATTCCCTTCACTGAACATGCTTTCCCTTTCAGCCATGGGGGGTATTATAATGTCACAGCCTATCCCACTGTTTGTTGAGAAAAGAGTAGCCCAAGAGTTGGTGGTGTTGACTAACTGCTTTCCCTCTAGTCTATTATTGCTATAATATGGACAGGTAGCACAGATAGCCCTTAAGTAGTTTTGGAAAAATTCCAAAACAAACAAACATACAAAACCATCATGGAAGTCAGATACATTATTGTAGTACAACCACCACAGTCCTTTTTTTTTTTTGCAAAAATAGATTGTTTTAAGTTGTTATAAGTATGGATAATTTCCAAACAGTCTTTGTAATCGTACTGTCTAATCCTTGATCCTTGTTTTGCAACACAAAAATGGGTTTTAATTTTTTTTGTACTGTCAGTCTTGACAGTGCCACCGTCATATGTGCTTTTTTGTGTGTGATATTTTTTACAATGTTAAACTTTAATGCACGATTACCATGGGTTAGGAAAACAAAACAAAAAATCAGTGAATTTTATATTTATAATTACTGGGTTGATAAACAACAGGGAATTTCATTTTACAGACAAAAACTGTGAAAAGTCAGTCAATTTTAAGTGATTCAGTGATGCTTGTAGGATAATATGAATGGTGAAAAAATAAATTACCATTAGCACCAAATAGTTACATGCAGGTTAGTTCTGGCACATTTAGCATATCAATATGCATATTTTATGCATAAACGTTGTTTGTATTCATTGATCTTTTTTTGTCATGGTATTGATAAATTTCAAAAACAATAACACGGTACCACCTAAATGGAGTTTAAGAGTTCTAGACAAAAGTCTTTTATAACTGTCATAGAGGATTGTTTTACTGCACCCTAAAAGCTCTTAACAAATTACTGTTTAGAGCTGGCCTATTTCCATTAATTAACTTATTTTGATCTTACAGATTTTACTGTATTAATAAAAGCCGCCATGTCAGTAGCCGTAGAAAGAACGTGTAATATTTTGGGTATGTTTCATCACTGACATATTTGTGTAGGAAAGATTTGAAATACGTCAAAATAAAAAACATTATTTCAGTAAAACCTAGCAGTTCAAAGATAAAACAAAGATGTACTTATATTTATGCAATTAATTATCAAAAATAATTGTAAGAATTATATAGAATAATAGTCCATTATAAAACAAAATACTCATCTCCTAACATTACTTATAACATGTGACATCATGATGCTTAGTACAGTGTGGGCAAGGGTTGTTGACAGACAATGTCTTCAAGACAGGTAAAATATCACCAGTAACAATTAAGAAAAACCTGTATAAAGCAAAATATAGATAGCAATAGATTATATCGGTAATTTTGGGACAACAAGTTCCAGAAACAAAAATTGAGAAAATATAGAATTTGTCATGAACAGTAACTAATAATGTGGTGCATGTAACTAATAATGTGGTGCACGTAACTAATAATGGGGTGCACGTAACTAATAATGGGGTGCACGTAACTAATAATGTGGTGCACGTAACTAATAATGTGGTGCATGTAACTAATAATGTGGTGCATGTAACTAATGTGGTGCACGTAACTAATAATGTGGTGCACGTAACTAATAATGTGGTGCACGTAACTAATAATGTGGTGCACGTAACTAATAATGGGGTGCACGTAACTAATAATGGGGTGCATGTAACTAATAATGGGGTGCACGTAACTAATAATGGGGTGCATGTAACTAATAATGTGGTGCCTGTAAAAGTTTCCGAGAATATGGCGTTATTTATTATCCACGAATATTTATAGAAACTGCTAAATTTGTATCATTGAATAACTGAATACATCATGTTTACCTAATAACTTATAAGTTAAAGAATATATCAGGTTTATTTACATAATAATTATAAATTAAGGCATCAGATGTATGTATGATATATTAGGAAAATATACTGTTTGTCAAACAAACAAAATGTTAGAGGAAAGAATAAAGACTGGAGGTAAAGGGAAGTGTGTGCAGGTTTACAGAATTGGATTAATAATTTTGGTACCATTTTGAAACTATGGGCTTTCAAACTGCAGTATTCTCTTGACATAGAGATAGGAATCATTAAGGAGATTGTGTAGTGTTTGAGTACAAGTGATATATTAGTGTTTTTCCTTGTTTCTTAGTCCAAGAACCACACCAGAATTAAAGTAATATTAGTAATTTTAGTAAAAGTTTTACTTAGTAGCAGTTTTTATTTAATATAATAAGTAAAGTTATGTAAGAAAAAATTAAAAACTTGATGCTTGAGTGTATTGCAGTATCACTGCCAGTTACTATAACTTCAATGGATACAAGTGTACATCTTGATTGAAGAGGATTATATATAACTAACTGTTGTGGATGTGACACATATATTATCTACTTGGCCTTAAAACATAAAGAAAAATAAATGTTTATTACAATCAAATATCTTTTATCCTTTGTATAGTCAAAATTTGTGTCAGAATGTCCTCACTGTTTTCTACTTCTTGAGTTTGAATATATTGAAAAGGTTGAAGAATGCTATTTAGTTTTCTTTCAGAGTGCACACATACTTTTGTTCTAGATAACATTTTATTTTTGTGCGCAGTTTTTACTAAAAATGTGATTATTAAAGAATTACTTCGAGACTGATGAAATAAGTGAAGAGTAGGTACATTTTGGAGGTACAGAAAAATTTGTGTTAGTCAAATTCTATAATTTTCATTAAACATTCAACAATAGTATCCCATCATTTTTGACAGGCTCATATACTAGTATTATCATTTTATTGTTATATAATAATAGTTTTTCTTGCAAACTACTTTGTTTACATATACTAATTATTCCAACAGTGCAGTATCTCAAGATCTGTTTTTCAACAGGTAGAAGAATGGAAGTCCTCTGCCTCTTTAAGTTTGCTCAACACATCACAGAACATGGTCATTACCTTAGGTGTGATGACTGGAGCTCTACTTTGTGCTCACATGGTGGTTAGTGGTCAAGGTTTGACAGTTGGTGACTATGTTCTCTTCAGCACATATATTCTACAACTTTATACTCCTTTAAATTATTTTGGAACATACTACAGGTAGTATCTCTAAATGTAGTATTTTGTGTTGAAGTTTGTGTGTACATATTTTTCCAACTTAGAAAATGTGATCCAATCTTTATGTCTGGAACTGAATATGAGTTCAATTATTAATGAATCATAACTGAAAATTATTCAAGATATTTAATTAAAGTTTTATGTATTTATAAGTTAAGGAAATACATTCCTGTAAGTAGGAATTGGTTTAATAATTAATTCACTTATTATTTTACAAGTTTAAAAAGAATTTTTTTTATTAAATACTGAAGAACATTTCTTATAATTGATGGATTTTTATCATTTCTTGATTTAAACATAAACCAAAGAAATTTTAACTCAGACTAATGTTTTTTTCATTGTAAAGAACATTATATTACAACAATTATCTATTGGCAAATATCACTAGAAAAATCTTACTACAATGGAACAATAGCATGGCCATCTATGTATCAATCTACCTATGTAACCAAAATAACAAATACAGTTGTGTCATCTGTTGTGCTGAAATACAACAAGATCTCAATGCCAGAAGTGGTGATTGAGGCTTATGAAATGTTACACCATATGTTGAATGGCACCACAAACAAAAATCCATAAAATAATTTCACACTTTTGGTATTCAAGATTCAGACAATTAGAAAAATAACTGTGATATGTGCAACAACCATTTCTTTATAACAGAACACAATTTTAAATAAAAGTACTCTTATCGCAGGACTGTACATGAGGGTTTGATTATATCTTTATTGATGCAATTTTTAAATGTAGTATTAAAAAAACAGGAGTTCTTAAAAAAACTTATTTTTTCAATAAAGGGTAGCACTTTGAAAATATATATATACATATAAATATATACATGCAGTTTATATCAGTAAAATTTTGAGGTATGTGATGCAGTGAGTTGCGTATGACTAAAGAGCACAATCTGAACACTTTTCCTCTGCAATACTTCCCAGAAAAAAAATTATTTTTAAGAAAGTGTTCACATTTTTTACAATTTTTACAATGAGGTATGAATACATCAACTAGAAATTACTAGCACAAACAGCCGATCATTGGGCGTGTACAGCTGTCCATAGGGCAGAGTTTGTACTAGTATAAATAGTGTGTGTAAATGGACTTTTTTTTTACTATGTGCACAAGATTAATGATTACTGATATTTCCTAGATATGTTACTCTTTAGTATAAATTCATTCTAAATTAATACACCAGTATTATATGTAGTAAAATAAAATAAATATTGTATTTTTTAGGCTAATTCAAAAAGCCTTCATAGACATGGAAAATATGTTTGATCTACTTGATGAAGATAGAGAGGTATTTAATTTAAAATTTTGTTACTATTTTACACTTTCAAAATGACTAAATTTTGTTAGATTTAAGTAGAACATGGTATGCAATATTGATATTATCTTGTATTCTTAGCTATATTTTCAGTATCAGGTTCAGATTAGTGAAAGTTATTGTTTCTTTATATATTTTTTTTGCTTTTGTTTTCTCTAATCAACAGTTATTTCAAACAAATACTGTGAGATATTCATTTATTATATCATAGCAGAAAGTAATTAGGAATAGTTTTTATATGATTTTGCTAAGTATTGTATAGTTAATCATGAACTACTTTTTATGTTTATGTAGGATTAGTTTAATATTATTAGTAAAAAGACTTTGCTCACTAATAACACAAAAACTGCTTGTTGTTAAAGATTAGAGTGCTTAGTTGCTCAGTTTTTATTTGCAGTTGTAAACACTAATTCATGCTTTAAAAACGAATAATGTTGCTTCAAAAATAATTCATACAATATTTTGTGACTAATTTTCTACCGTTACTTACTGTCTTTAACTTTGTATTTTTCAGGTTAAAGATGAAGTTAATGCTCCAAGCCTAAGAGTTATTAAAGGAGACATTGAATTTAAAGATGTCTGCTTCCATTATACAGCAGAGTAGGAAACATTTTAATTTTCTGAGAAATTGGCATTAGTTATTTTTAATGAAATAGAAAAAGCAATTTTTTTAATAGGAAAGTATTATGTTCTTAATAATAGTTTCTTTTTATTTTATATCCAAACTTCATGGAAGTGAACACTATGTAGATTTGCATTGAAGTTGAGAAATTATAATACACCATTGCTTGGCAAAGTTAACCACTTAAAAACTCATTTAGGTATTCATTTTTGTTTTTTGTACTTTTCAATTATCCTGAAACAACTCGCCTGCTTCTTACACCTTATATTATCAATCATATGTGACATTAAACTGTATGAAGGACTTAAAGATGAAAGACAGAAGATTTTCAAAACGTCTTCCTTTTCACTTGTGATTTATTTATAACAGGCAGTTGCCGTCCATTCCAGTTTACTCATCATGAAACTCTGCCTAAACAATATATCAAAGAAAAACCCTTATGTTGTCAGATTGGAATGCTGACCACCTCTCCCTAAGTCATTCTCTGAGAGGCCTTAAGGATACATGCTAGACAATTGGTTCAGTAGTTTACCAGTTATAAGCAGACAGATATATATATATATATATATATACCCGTCGGTGGGCCTGAAGCTCACCATATATGTTTATTCATCAGACATCATTGTGGGTTTTGCATAATATTTTAAGAGTTTAAATGTGAATACTTCTTAGTGCAGCTCTTTTGAATCTGTTACTGTCTAAAGCTCCTCACAGCATTTTATTTCCACATATTTTTTATTCACTTTAGTGCATCTGTTTAATTTATAGTAAAAAGTTTTTCACTACTCATGAAATTTCTCAGCTAAGTCTATTAGTTGCTAAATTTTTAATCAATATTAGAATATAATGCGAGTATGGAAACTTGCATGTATAGCTTAATTAATAAAAACTAAAATTTTACAGGAGGCCTATTTTGAAAAATATTAGCTTCATTGTACCACAAGGAAAAACTGTAGCTTTGGTGAGTATGATTGATAACTTATAGTGTTATTGTTTTTACATGAGTTTTAATTCACAACAGGAACTGTTTCAAATATTTAATCACTTTTTTATTTGTTGTGTATTTAATCCTTCAGTTTTTTTTAATGCTGGTATGAGAACTATTATTTTCAATTGCTTAAATAATCGGTCTCTTTTAATGCATGTATTAATACTGTATAAAATAACCAATAAAAATTAACAAAATCATTGTAAGAATTAAAGGCATTTAACTTTTTTCAGTGACTCCAACAACTGCAATATAATTTTTATCTCCAACATTAAGTTCTGTAATTATGATCAACATTTGTGGTAGTTATGGTTGTTAAAAAATGCTTTACTAGCAGTTGTTTGTGGGTTAACCATTTAGCTCAGTTGGTAGACCCCCTGCCTGGTATCCATGAGTTCTCAATGATTTGAGGGACTTCCACAAAAAAAATCTTTCACCCAACTAATGGTTGTCTCACAACCCTGAGAATCTTTTATCATGGTAATTTCAATATATTATTTTCTCAGCTTGGATTTGAATCGTATACCTCTTGCACACCAAGTGAGTGTTCTGGTAAAGCTTGTTTTAATTATTCAAACTACACACACTACTACACACTCAGTGCTGTAGTTATACCCAGGTTCATAAAACAAGTATATTTCAAAATGCATGATTGGAATAACTTCCTTTTAATAAAAGTAATGATTTATTTGCTTTGTTAATTTAAGTATTTGAATAACTAATTCCAGTATAATTATACCTTAAAGTTAATGGATAAATTTCGAGATGATCCTTCAGATAGCACCTAATGCTAGCAGATGCAAGCATTCTGACATTTACTGTAAAAATTCTTGTACTTAACTTTATATAACATGACATAGTCAACATAGTGAGCTTACATCAACACCACTGATGTTCCAACCATATTTCAAATATAGAATTTTGGTGTACATTTCAAAGCTACATCTAAATGTGTAAAAAATGCAATTGTACACTTTATTTTTAAGCGTTTAAAGTTTATGTTTGTTTGTGAGTGAGCATAGGTAAAAATTGACATTTCAACATTTATCACACAGCATTTGAATATTCCATGACTAACACTTTCTCCAAATCCCAGCTTAAATAGCAACCTCTAACATTGCATTACAAATATGAAAAGGGCCGTTAGTCTAGGTAAGTCCAACAGACTCACTCCAATTATAAGTTAACTTCAATTTATTTGAACAACATTGCAATCACTCAGTCTGCATCTCTCTGCTCCATTCCTCATCGACTGATGTCACTACTACATGGACAAACAACTACACGTGCTTCTACTACGAGTTCTACTCAACAGTCACGCCACAGTTTTACTGGTGACATCTTTCAACATCTTCTCACAATGTCTAACAAAACACTCACAGGGTGCAAATAATTAAGCCTAAAGGCTTCTTCCATTCCATTTGGCTTAAACCTTTTCATCATGCGGGTGAAGAGAAATGGAAGTTTCTGACCATCCTGGGTTGTCTTTGACACCTGAAAGATCTTAAACCTAAATTTCTGCCATGTTATTGGATTGCATCACAATTAAAGAATTGACATGCAATATACTAATTGCTATTATAATCTGACATATGACATTTACTGGCAAATTATTGGGGATGGTTGTATGAAAAAAAAGCTTTATCATCAGTGTTAATAATCTATAATCACTGTTTTGTAAATTAACTTTTTTAGTAAAATGATAGTGGAGTAGGTACACAAAAAAGTGGTTCCCTTATCTAAGCATCAAGTTTTAATCTATTCATGAACATTTGACATAAATTTGAAATATATGTGGTAAATGCTTGAGCAAATTTAAATTATACTAATAATAATTTTTCTTTCAAATTTGTACCACTTACTGTTCTGCTTTTTAAAACAAATTGATAACTTTAAATCTTGAATAATTTTTCATTTCTCTCTCTTAAAAAGTGAATTGAAATATTGTAAACTTTTTACTCTTGTGCTTCATGACACTTACTTTTTTAAATTTTGATACTGGATGCTCTTATATATCTTAAATACTGATGACCTGTGTTTTATGACTCATGTACACCCACTTGTTTAAGGTGTAATGTGACTAAAGAATATCGTATTTATTACAGTATAGTGGTAAAAATACCATCACAGTAATGTGTGGTTACCATTTGTAATTGTTCTATGAGTGATACTGGGATTTATTCATAAGTCAGCCTAAAATTTCATTAGCTTATAAAGAACAACAGAGCCATGTTATGGTAAGCTAAGAAATGTGATTTCATATTATATTAATCATCATCTGTCATTAATTTCATGAGCAGTAAGATGTGTTTTCAATCATTTTAAGTAATGAAGATAATATGATAGAATTATTCCTTATACACAGCATGGTCACAAGTAAATAGACACCTAATTTTTCGCAATTTAACTGATTTATGCTAACTAATTTGTGTTCACAGAGCACTATATAAATGAAAATGGTCCGCACACTAATTATCTTGTGCTACAACATGCCTAGAACTCAAGGTTCTCTCGAATTGTCAGATTTTGTTAGAGGAAGGATAATTGGTCAAACAGATGGTAGAATAAGTCAGTGGCAAATTTCGACAGTCAACAGTTCAGGAAACACGGCAAGGAAACAACTGAGCAGCGTCCGTGTCCATCGGAGAGGACAGAAAG